GTGCCTAATTAAATTAAGAGGGGTTGAATCTTGTACAATCGTCAGAACCTATTTATTCCATTAACAACTATGAAATTAAATATTGGATAAATTTTGAGACCAACTTTACCAATGTTAGTTTGACTATATTCAACATGTTAATAACCGTAAAAATATAAATAAATATACTGAAAATTTTAAAATTTATAAAAATATTTAAAAAATAGAGTTTACTAACATTAACTTAATAAGTTCTATTTTTACAGACAACCAACTGATCTAGTGGGAAGATGTACTAGATTTTTTAAGCAAGGTCATATGTTCGAATCTTAACGTTTACGAATTTAGGAAATTGGGTTGGGACTTCGGAAGGTCGACTCATAATGAACCTTTGCAAAACTAAATCTGAATTAGTCGATCAATTAATCGAATACCAATGATTAGTTCAAAAAAATATTTAGTTTTAGGCTTAATATCCAAATAAGTGCCCAAACTATACTCTTTTTCCCGAATAAGTGCCTACAGTATGTTTTGGACCAACCATGTGTCTAACGTTACCACTTTAGGTGCTCGGGCCGTCAACATCATTAATTTCCTCCATTAAGTAACACGTGTCATAATATAACATTTTTAAAAATTTTATATAAAATTAAAAAATATATATTTTTAAAAAGAAAATACATAAATTTCGAAATAACTCCAAAACTTTGAAAATCTTCATTTCAACCTTTAATCTTACGCCACCCGTCACCTTTTGCCGTCGGTAAAGTTCCACCCGACCTCACCTCCCCCGGCGACCAAAAATCTTATGAAATCATGACCGATTGACGTCGAATCGGCGTTTTATACCACGAGAACTTTAGGATGAAAATCGCGATCCCACGCGATTTCGACTGTCAATTGGCGACAACTTCGTCGACGTATAATTAGGATGATTGTAGAGACTATGTCGATGACGGTGGTCATGGACAGAAAGGGCGGTGGCGGCGACTGTTAGTGTTAGGATTTTAGGGATTTTGAGGTTCTTTTGTAATTTAAAAAAATTACGGTTTTTTTATAAATATAATAATATTTTTAATATTTTTTAAAAAATAAATTTTAAAATTATTAAATTGTGACACATGTCACTTAACGAAAAAAACTAAATACCAAGACGTCCCGGACATCTAAAATGGTTAATTTTGTAACGTTAGACACTGGATGGTCTAAAAAAATACTATAGACACTTATTCCGAAAAAAATATAATTTGGACATTAAGTATTATTTTTAACTAAATAATTTTCAAAGTAATAGTTTTTTTGAAAATATAATATATATACCTCAACTAACTTCAAATTGATTTTAATGACCTAGCCTATGTGTCTCAATAAACGAACATTCCGGACCTCAAATAACTTTTGATGATCTTGCACACGTGTCCCAACAAATAATCTTCTCAATCTCTCTAACGGGATCACATTTATAGTAGGGGTTGATTATTTATAATTTTTTTATTTTGGATAAACTATTTGTTTAATCATTAAATTATAAAATTGATTATATTTTAACCATTAAATAAGAAATTATCAATTAGGTCACCAATATTACGTTTTCATTCTACTTTAGTTATTCGTCGCTAAAAATTTAAAGAAAATGGTATCGTGGCTTATTTCTCGGAAAAAAAATTATCGTTATCTTGATCGATCATTTTTAAAATTACTAGGCAAGGTTCTAGACAAAAATTAGCGAGAAAATACAACTAATCATCCGATATTTACGTGGGTGGGTGTTCTAGTACAAGTGGTGACCGATGAAGGTTGTGAACTTGAGACATAGATTCGAACGAAGAAGAGATGTTCATTTTTGTAATTTTATTTTAAAAGTTTGTGTCTTCCAACGAGAAAATTGGTGTTGGAACCTCAAGAGGAAATGCTAAAGCTCAATATTGAAGCCTTGGAGACTCAATTTTATGTTTGGAGTCCATTGATAAGAATGCGAGTACATTTACAAAATGTTGCATACGTTATATGTTTAATTGTTCTAAGGTTTGAGATTAACCATCTACTTTGTAGGAAGGTCGCATGCAAAATATGTTGATATGATGATTTTTATCAAACAATGTTTAGAAAATTCACTAGAACTCCTAGCATGACTTTTGGGGTGTAATATTACCTCTTGAACTTGGTAAGTTTGATCAAATGACTCCTCTAAAACTTTAAAAATGCTACACAATAACCCTTAAGATTAACAACATTAATTTTTGAATAAAGTTAATTGAATGTTTGACAATTGATTATACTTAATTTCTCAACGACATACAAATTATTATTATTTTTATCTCAATTTCTTGCATAAAATATTTTTGTCGCCAACCACTTTAGTCACTTTTGTCACAAATTTTGATGTGAATATGTCGAGTCAGTCATAAATTGACACAGCATGTTCTTTTAAAAGAATCTCTATTAAGACATATTAGTAAGATTAACCTTCAAAAGTTTTTTATTTTTAATTTCATTTTTAATATTAAAAAATAAAAAAAATTAAATATTCATTTTAAAATATTATAAAAAATATTCGTATCGATCAATGACACGACATAATATTATAACTTTAAAGAAAAATTTATTAAATAAATTAAAATTAAGAAAAAAACATGTAATCATGAGGTGACACATATCATTATTTGATTGAATAATTAAGTTTATTGAATTATATTAAAGTCGAGACCAACTTAATTGAATGTGTATGCAATGAGAACGAAACATGTAAATATACTAATTTTTTAATTGTCATGTATTAAATAATTAAGTGGTATGATTGATAAAATTGAAATATAAATGGTCAAAATAGAATCTCTCTATAGTTAAGTTGTAATGGGTGCAGATTACCCATAAATGACAACAACTTGTTTATTATTTGTTTTTAACATTAAGAAAAACCTGAATCTGATAGGGTGGCTGAAAATCAACCAACACCAGCAATTCACCATTCATCAAGCCAATTCAGATAACTATACCTGATAAATGACAGGGAAATTAGCCGGTCTTAACTCCTCTGATGGTTGAGGTGGTGGTTGGACATAACGTAACAGTTTTTAGTTTAGTTTTAAGAGGCTTCAACTGCAAGCAATTAGGACTCCAATCGAACAACACCAACACTTTGAATATGGATAGATGTGTGATTTTATGTCAGGGTATGAGATTTCAGGATGTAAAATTAGATCATCGATGAAAAATACATTAAAAAATTAAACTATACGAGAACTTAAAATTTCTAAAGGATGTAACCGTACTAATACTCCTTCGATCCATCCGTGTCTTTGAAAACTAAACAGTTCTGTGCTCGCTACTCATTGCTCAACCTTCCGCCATAGTTATGGTTTCCCTTTGGAGGGAAATAAAACTATAATTAAACATTATGTATGCATCTATCTATGTTTATATCCATTAAAACAAGGCGTTGAGCAAATATTGAATACCATGGCAGCTAGATCGAGACCAATCACAGGGGTCCTATGCAAAATAAAATTTTGCATGTGCCCTTTTTATGCATCGCTTAATTATTAATCCTAATTATTGTTCTTTCACCCACTCAGCTACGTTTCTTAGCTATGGGGGTTTCGTATAAATAGTTACACTTTCCGCTTCGGATCCTCAAACCATTGTTGGTTGCAAGCAATAAGTTAAGCCAGTTGTTTGAGCTATAGCTAGCTCTTACTCAAATGGCCACCAAAACGATGACATTGCAACTATTTCCCCTTTTCTTATTCAGCTTGTTCCTTGTCTGCAACTGCAGATTCTATGGCGTTAATGAAGACGAAAATGGCGGTTGGCAAACTGCGCATGCCACCTTCTACGGTGGTGCTGATGCTACCGGAACAATGGGTGAGTTTCAAACTTTCAGACTCTACGTCGAAAGGGAACTCTGTGTTATACATATGATTTGTGATGTTTGTTTTAGGGGGAGCTTGTGGTTATGGGAACTTGTATAGTCAAGGGTATGGAACGAGCACAGCAGCTTTGAGCACTTCACTTTTCAACAATGGCTTGAGCTGCGGTGCCTGCTACGAGCTTCGGTGCAACGATGATCCTAAATGGTGCTTTATCCGGATCATAACCGTGACCGCCACCAACTATTGTCCGCCTAACTATGCTTTGTCAAGTGACAATGGTGGCTGGTGCAATCCCCCTCGAGAACACTTTGATTTGGCCGAACCGGCTTTCTTGCAGATCGCTGAATATCGAGCCGGAATCGTCCCCGTTCTCTACAGAAGGTCATAAACCTCAATTCAACTTGATTCAAATCACCACTCACTCATCATATCTTCAACCATACTTCAGTTTTTTTTTAACCTTTGCAGGGTCTCATGTGTGAAGAAAGGAGGCATCAGATACACCATTAATGGGCATTCATATTTCAACTTAGTTCTGATAACAAACGTCGGAGGTGCCGGGGATATAACATCGGTGTCGATCAAGGGTTCGAAGACAGGGTGGCTACCGATGTCCAGAAACTGGGGCCAAAATTGGCAAAACAATGCCTACCTTAATGGCCAAAGCCTGTCTTTCAAAGTAACAGCCAGCGATGGCAGGACTATCACAAACAACAATGTGGTGCCTGGTGGTTGGCAATTCGGACAAACATTTGAAGGAGGCCAATTTTAAGACAATTCCAATTGAAATTTACTTGTATAAGGCACATGAGAGTTTTATGCAGAGGTAGTAAGGTGGTGCCCGCTGGCTTTATGTGTGAAATAGGCGAGCAAGTGCCACAGCCTATATATATACACATTTCAATGTATGCATAGTGCCCTCCAACTACTAAGTTTGGAATTTGGAGGGAATATCCATAAGATAATGTCTGAAAATTGTTTGTTGATTGACCATAATATTTATGGTTTTCCTGATTAAAACACTTTATTATTTATAAATAATTGGTGATTTCGCTTTGCAAATGTTTTCAGACCGATCATATATCACCCAAGAATAAAAACTGAGCTAATAGGTAGTTGACTAACAAGCCTAATGAAGTAAACTCTATCGGTTCAACCTTTCATCTCGAATCGAATTAAACTTAATAGGTACCAACTACTCAAACCAAACTCTCATTAAAGCACAATTCTTTACAAGCATGAACACAATGTACATGCCCCCCCCCCAAAAAAAAAAAACTTGCTGCAAATCCTTGGCGAGATTCAATAATTCAGCAATGAGTACTTCACTCTCAAAACAATTTTGCCTTTCTCAACACCAAGCTTTCCACCGGTAACTAACCAATGACCGGGTGGATCTTGTGGCCCTTTGCTCATCTCAGATGTATCGACAAATTTTGCCAACTTGTTTGAAATGTTTTCTTGTGTGGTCATAGCTGAGTCCTCGGAGTTGGTAATAACCGTAGTAGCAACGACCTTCTTTGATTTTCCGTTTGGAGTGTTGTCCCACAAAGATCTTCGTATTGTGCAGCTTGGAAGCTTAGAATACAAGAGCTTCATGTACAGGACATTTCTCGACCCGAAATCCCAGACTCCAAGTTGTGCTCCCGTGACAACGTAGATGCCAGAGAGGTCGCCTATAAAGGTTTCAGGGTTTTCGACTGGTGCAGTACTAACATGAGAAAAGTTCTTCCATTTCACAGGTTTAAACCATCTGCTGTCTTGCTCCTCGGGTCCCAGCCACTTGGGAGCACCAATTGTGACATGCGTGTCCCAGTGTGGAAGTAGGATCTTTGGAAGAGAAGCTAAGTGTTGAAGATGAATCCTCAGACGATTCTTCTTGATCCCTTCGAGTTGTAACCGCAAGCCTGTCACTGGCTTACGCCCAACTGAGATCTGCATTTACATTGAGAGCCCAGATTAGATGCAAAATTTTGTTACAACAATTCATTTTACAATTCCCTGTAACTTTCATGGGGTTGTTTATAATGAATGCCCTATAACCAGAAACTCCAGAATCATAACAATGCTGTTTGATCGGTTCATAAGCTGCAAAACCATGAATTGAGTTTCAATATGAAAAGCTAAGTTGCAAAAGCCTATACCTGCTCTTGGCTGACATAAAGCTTTTGGCCCATCATGCTGAATTGCAAAGATGGGCAGATAGGTTCCTTCCTTCTAAGGCCAGGAATCTTATCCTGTACAGGAGCCCATATCCTAGGAATCTGGAACTCCAGAAAATACCGCAGTTCTTCAATTGGAGGCTTGTCTGCCGACAATCAGAGCAAATAATCCAGTTAGTACAAAGAATGTCATTATCAACACAAAGAATGACAAGGAAAAGATTGTATTCAATAAACTACAAAGAAGTGGTTGTATTACATTCAAGATAGAGACTGATAGCACGAGCCACATGCTTCTTTCCAGCTATACCATCAAGCATAGCAGTTATAGGATAGAAAGTCATTTCAATGACATCAGGAGAGGACCAGACAGTTTCTGCCCACCGGCCGTGGTTTTGCTCCAGATCATCTCCTCCCCTTCTCCGAAAAATGACTGTAACATCCTACATCAATAAAAATTCCAGAAAATGAGATAAAGGCTTCATAGACTTAATGCAAATAAGGTCTGACAAGTTAAACATCTGGAATTGGCAGAAAAAGGAACACTGAAAGCAAACATTTCGTAGTAGAAAGCAGATAAGTTTGCTCCATCAATCACGCAAAATATTCTCTCACCAGAATATCATTTGGCAACAAAAACCAATCAACTGTACATATTATCCACTCCAGCATGCTAAGTAATGAGCAATGATTTCATAATTGTTCAATGCATTGCAATAGGAACATTTTAAGAGGAATGGTTACAACGACCAGATATCCAAACTAACCATGGCCTACTATAAGTGTTGGCTTTCTGGATCTGATTCAACGATGGGAAAAACAGTAAATGCAACATCCACTCCAATGAAAACAATCATGAAGCTTTCGCATTCAATGAATCATTGCCAAAAACAAACCGTGAGTACAAACTAACATGTCTAATAAAAGAGTTTCAGACAAGTAGTGCAGGCAATGCAGTTGTGGTTGACAGTTAAATTAGTTTCAGCCGTGAATCTCAACATAAATAAGAATCTCTCCCGGGTTCTTAATATCCTACATGTTAACTTGCTTATGTGTACGAAGAACAATGCAAAATTTGTTTTCCAAATAAGATTTCTCACTTTATGATTCCATGGGCACAGAACACAACAAAATAGCATCTCGATCATAGCATATTCAAACTGATTTCCACTAATAAAATGTCATGACATCTTAATACCTCTTTCCCATTAAGATATGGCACAGTGGTAGGCTGAGGGTATATCCCTTGACTGTTGAATAAGCCAGAATCAAGACCATACAAAACTCAAATATTATGTCAACAAAGGTCAAGAAAGTAAGAAAACCAAAGGATGAAAAAATATGAAAGAAAAAGTGGAACTAGCCTTATCCTTCAATTTGATTTGACCTGAACTTGTAAGACTTTCTTTGTCGGAGAATCTCTGGTTTCCAATATACTGGACATAGCTTTTCATATCCTTGGTAGACAAAGGTGATGTATGATGTTGTTTGACGTATATCACATCTTTACCACCAATAGTTACTGAAGTAATAACATGCGTCCCAAAATTTTCAATGAAACTGTCAAATAAAGCAGTATTAGGGACATAAACTAGATGAGAAGTTATATTTAAAGACAAATGGTTCATACCTTGCTAAGGTCGATGGTTCCCAAGATGTTGGTACAGCCTGTTTAACATTTTCTTGCAATGATGATGGGGTCTTTGTAAGCTGAAACTTGGCAACTGGAATATAAAATCCATCCATAGCAAGTGTCTTTGTCGTCGCAGCATCAATAGTCGTTGAACCAGTAAAGCTAAATGCAGAATTAAAACTACCGAGCGGAAAACCACCAGGGACATTAGCTTTTTTGTTAAAATACTCCACCATCTGAAATTGGCAGTTAAGAAGAGCAAATTAGAATAGGTTAAAGCAACACAAATAATGTTCAAAGCCATCAGAGTAAAACAAATAATAGGAAATAAGTTTAGGTAATGATATTAAGATCAGAAACATTAGTTATGCTAATGTTGCATTTCATCATTGATCACAGTGCAGTTAGTAATTCAATCAGCATTCTCTCTCTTAACAAATTAGGCCAATCATCATCAAATTCAATACTCTTATGTAAGTTCTTATGTCACTATTATATGGAAGCAGCTAATCACTTAAACAGAATTTGGACACTACCAATCAGACATGACCTTAAGCATTTTGGTAGGAGATGACACGCAGGCCAAACAGAATAAGTTGCTAGAGATTTTAAGGTTCACAATTGACATCAATGGATAATTGTACTTCATCAAATAATTCCTTAACGAAGCTCATGCACGAGAACACTAAACCATGACAAATTAGAGGGAAGAAGGCATAGCCTCAAGATAATTTGACTACAATAGAAACACAATAACACAGTTTTACATTTGAACGAACCCCCTTGCATAATTTATGGATAAAACACCAGAAAATGGTGGGAGAAAAAAAAAACAACATTACCTCATGGAAGTTGCAGACCCCAGAACTGTGACGGCCAAAAGGCTCCGAGGAGTTCTTGATATCTCTAGAAATATTTGGCAAAACAGTTTGATTATCCAGGTAGATATCCCTACCATGTTCATCATCGATTTCAACTATCCTAGAACCTGCCACACCTTTACAATACAGTAACTTTGTATCGAAGTTAACATCAAATCCCCTCCCTAATGCCTGCACAGCGTTCATTGAAGTGTGCAGGGCAGCTGCGTTTCCATTTCCAGTTTCCCCCATTTTCTCATAACCAGAATTCCAGTTTCAATTCCCCTTCAGCCTCCAGCCTTCAGCCTTTTCCTTGATCAGAACGATACCCAGTTCACCAAATAAGCTCAGCTCTAAAAAACCCAATTCCCTGTTCTACAGGATCCCAACGAAATCGAATGAATTGTGAAGATAAAATTGAAGTGGAGAAAAGTGAGATATGGGTTGATAGTCAAAACCACGAGGTTATTTCTCTCTACTGAGAAACAATTGGTCTGGAAAGAAGATTTGCTAGAGAATCAAGAATTCAACTTTGTATTATGAAAGGTTTTGAAATATAGCTTATCAACCCTTTCTCTTGAAATCCTCCTTTTTTGTTTTTGTTTTGTTTGTTGGGTTACAAGGAAGAGAAAAACAATAAAAACCCAGCCTCTGTATTTCCCATCTTCCACTATACGATTTGAGTTACGAATAATGTCTTCCCAATTCCAAAAAGTCATTTTCTCTCTGAAAAGTCTTTTTTTCCCCTCCAAATAAATTTCTCCATGAGATCTTAACCGTTCATTCTTCCAGACTCAGTCTCCGAAAGAAAGGAAAATCACCTAAACAACTTTCACCTTTGTGATTCCTAATAAAAATTGTTTGGTTTTTGGTGTAGTTAAAAACAGAGTAACAGTAACATACAAACACGAAGCTTAGCTTGCCGCATCAACTGCAAAGACCAAAGACCAAAGACCAAAACTTTGATTTTATATGTTCTTCGTCCCCTCCGATGATTCTGGTTTTCCATTTGCCATTATTATTTGTTAAAACGTTACATCAAGCGAACCTTAATGGTCCACTTTGCATGGTCTTAATTTCAAAAGTTCAGAGAAAAAAATATGTTAAGATACGCACTCTGCCAAATTTGCCATTCACGACTGCCCTTGGTCAAACAACGCACAGTGGGTCTTTTCACATTTGGAACTACGACACTTTGAATTGTATCCGCCCAAAGTTAGGGGTTAAATGATCCTAACGTGAACTGTTCATAAATCATTCGTATAATATTTGTTTATGTTTGTTTATTAAGTTAAATGAATGAGTATGAACAAAAATTTTATTTATATTTAATAAATGAATGAACACGAACAAAGGTGTGTTTGGTTCGTTTATATTCACGGACAAACTCGTTTAGGAGCTCGTTTATTTCTTTTATATTTTAAATATTAGTGAAAGTATATACTAAATTGAATATATGATGAAATTTGGAGTTTAAACTATGAATCCTAAGAAGTTTAAGCATTAGTTGTGTAGTTTTACCATTTTGTCTATTATTTAACAGAAAAAACTTTTCGTCGGTCTTTTTTTCTTTTTATTCTTAACAAACATGTTCGCAAACACTAAACGAATATATTCGTGAACGCTAAACAAACATGTTCACGAACGTTAAATGAATATGTTCACGAACATTTAAATGAACATATTCACAACGAATACGTTTGGGAACATTAAATAAATGAACACGAACACGATAATAAAAAATTAAAAGAACATGAACCGAACATGCACACGTTAAAAAAATAAACAAACGAAGACGAAACAACCTTGATCATTCAAGCTAGATTCATTTACACCCCTACCCAGAATATATTATTACTTACTTTAATTTATATTACGAAATTAAATAAATGATAGGGTAAATTACATTGTTATTCACTGTACTTTATTCTCTCTCCTATTCTGTTCATTGTACTTTCAATTTTTCTAATTTTTTCATTGAACTTTACAGATTGAATTATTTTGCTCACTCTGACGTTAATTATTTAACAGTGTTATGACATGGCATAAGAAATGTCGCTGGCCACCACGCCATTTCATTTCGTCCATCGTCCACTGTCGTTGATGGTGGCTGTTCGATACCAAATTTCATGGGTCGGTTCATCTCGTCCTCCTGAGTCTGAATATGGTGGTTATTTCACCGGAAAATATCTCAAACCCTGTGAATCTGGATTGAAATATTTCGACTTCCTCACTTTCAATCTCAAAATTGTGGACTTCAGAGCAAGTTCCGACAAAATGGAGATTGGATTCGGACTCACGGTGTCGAGGTGAAGAGACCCATGAAATTTGAGACCGAACGACCGCCATCTATAATAGTCGACAGTGGCATCCTCAATCTTTTTGATAATGACGTTAGAGAAATAACAAGGGAATGAGCAAAATGATTCAATCTGTAAAGTTCATTGAGCAAATTAAAAAATTGAAAGTACAATGAACAAAATAGGAGAGAGAGAAAAGTACAGTGAGGAACGATATAATTTATCTGAAATGATAACAAGAAATCATACATAGGAAAAAATAGTATAATTAATACTGGTTTTATATCTAAGAAATATATACTTAATGAATACCGACTCTAATTTATCGGGTGAATTCACGAGATAATGTTCTCGAACTTTTTTATTCACGATATAATGCACATCCCAGATTAATTGCTGAAATGGGGTTAATTCTACAGCAACCTTGGAGGTCGCCATGGCATCCGGGCGACCTTGGAGGTCGCCATGGCATCCGAGCGACCTGTGTGGTGTTTTGCAAAGGAGCAGGTGTAGGTCGCCATGCAATCAAACAGTATTGGAGCATGCATGGGGGAGTTGTGGGATGCATGTTGTGCATGGGACGTGGGAATGCATGGGGGAGTTGTGGGATGCATGCTGTGCATGGGACGTTGGAACTGTGCATGGGCCATGCACGTCGAACGGTGTAGGTCGCCATTGAGTCACGGCGTGGTAGGTAGGTCGCCATGGAGTCTCGGCGACCAAACTCTGGGAGATTCCTGTAGCTGCATGCATGCGTTGCATCATAGCTGAGAGATTCCTGCAACCGTAGCTGCATGTGTTGCATCTATAGTTGCGTTATTGCAGCGTTAATTTAGCTGCCAAATGCACCAAATATTATTGTTCAATTGCAGCCTTTCAATGCTCAATAGTTATACGATGCAATGCTAATATTATTTTCTTCAACAATCAAATTTAATGACTCTGTCCAACGCTCAATTGCTTTATATAAAGGATATGGGGTTTAGGGTAGAAGCACAAGCAGAACCAGAAGCATAAGCACATATAAACTTTGCCGAGAGAAAGAAAAGGAAGAAGAAGAAAAGAAGATAAAGGCTCAAACATAGTTCGTGAGGTAATTTTTTTATTGTTTAATTTAGTTTATTATATGAAATTATTAGTTTATTAGTTTCGGGTTTAGGGTAAAACTAAAATCTAGTTAATTAGTTTGTTAGTATAAATTATTAGTTTGTTAGTTTAAGTTATATTATATTAGTTTATTAGTTTAAGTTATATATTATATTTATATAAAAAATTAGTTAATTAGTTTCTTAGTTTAAGTTATTAAATATAAAAAAATATTAATTAATTTGTTAGTGTCTTTAAACGTATATTAGGTTGTTCGTTGAAGTTGAAGTTATATTATAAAAAAATTAATTAGTGCTTAATTAGTTTGTTATTTTAACTAAGTTATATTATAATAAAGAAATAGTTTATTAGTTTAAGGTATATTATAATATATTAGATTATATAAAATTAATTTGTGGGAGCTATTGTTGTTTAAATAAATATTTTGTTTACACATACAGAACATTATTTCACAACATTTACCCACGTACAGATTGATTCGAAGAAAGAAACAAGGCAGGAAAAGAAAGTAAAGGAAGAAGGCATAAAGACGTGAGTAATTTATTATTTTTTGTTGTCCATTTTTTGTTGTTGTGTATGTGTAAATTAGTTAGTTAGTAAGTTTATATTAGATTATATAAACTAATTTGTGCGAGATAATTTCCGTTTTAAAAAATATTGTGTTTAAAAATATTTAGTGTTGTTTTAAAAATATTTTGTTTAATTTACATTGTATGTGTATATTAGTAAGAAGTAAAAATTAATTGAATGAAATAATCCGGACTACGCATTATCTCGCGAAATAATTATTTCGAGAACATTATCTCGACAGTTTTGCCTAACAAATTTGTTTGATATTTTAAAAAATAAAAAATATTATCAAACTAATCATTATTATTAGTAATAATTACTAAATGATTAGTATCAAATCTAAATCATTAAATATTTATAATAAATAATTATTAGTGTTTATGACTAAATCATCTTATTATTAAATCATTAAATATCAAATCATTAGATTAATAGTAATTATCAAATCATTATTAGGTTTATTAGTAAGCAATCAATCAAGTTAAATAATAAATTTTATTTGATCATTAATATAATAGTATATTATATTATATTTAATAATTTATGAAATTATCTTATCTAATTTTTTAATTTAAATTAATTTATTTTTTTATTTGTAGAGAAAATGAGCAACAACTTTTTCACGATTGTCCATTATAATGGACAGATTATGGAAAATGAGGTCGGAGTAGTTTTTCAGCCTGGAAAACCAATAAATATGATGTTCAAAAAAGACATCACATTTATAGAAATGAAGCATAAGATAGAAAGAAAAATTCGAGCTGTAGTTGATGGTTTAAGGTATAGGTTTATGATATGCTTTAACCCAATCAGATATGCTGCAGTTTCACTTGAAGAAGATGATGATATTGGAACCATGGTTGGATTACATGAGTCAACCAATATAGCAGTTATTGAATTATTTGTTATGTGCGTAACATATGTGATGTTCCTGGGTCATCAAGAGGTGTGGCTCAAAATCCATCTGAAATGGCTTTATATAGTCAGTTTGAGGAGCCGACATACAGGTTCCCGAACAGTTTTATGGCACTATTGGAAAGTGTAAATGAAGTCGGGGGGACATCTACAGCAGCAGAGTATGAGACAAGAAACATACCGGAATTGGTTGTTGATATTGACGCTGAAAATCGATGGGGAGAAATTCATGATTATTCAAGCGAAGATAAAGAAACTGAAGAACCCGTTTTGGGCGGCGACGAAAATATTTTTGGTGGAGGTGCAATTGATGAAGTTCCGACACCGTATGAAGCTACTCCTCACATGTACGAGATAGACTATGATGCAATGAGGGCACCTGAATTCCCAGACATGCCACATTTACCTCCGTACCAAATGACTGAATCATTCGATAATTCTGGTGAATTTTCAGTTGGGGTGCAATTCAGAGGAAAAAATGAAGCTACGCTGGCGATTAAAGAGTACTGTATCAAATGCCATGTTGATGTCCATGTTGCAGAGTCTAACCAGAAAACCCTATATGCAAAGTGTGTAAAATATGGCCCAGAGTGCAAGTGGAAGATCAGAGTGTCGAAAAATCAAAGGCACGATGTTTGGGTCATCATGAGGTACAATGGTTCGCACACATGTTTGCGAAACTCCATCGAACAAGACCACCGACTATTGGACTCCGATGTAATATGTGAAAATGTGAAGGCGATGGTTGAAAATGATCCAAGGATATCTTGTTCAGTGTTAGCTGCATCTATTCGAAGCCAATTTGGATATCAAGTAAAATATGGCAAGGTGTGGAATGCGAAAATGAAGGCAATGAAGTTGACGTATGGAGATTGGGATACATCGTACAATGAGCTACCACATTTGCTACAAGCAATGAAGCGATTTATCCCAGGAACTATAGTGAAGTCTCAAACCATGCCCGCATATGACGAAGAAGGTCAACTTCTGCCAGGGAAAAAAATATTTCATAGACTATTTTGGGCATTCAAGGCATGTATTGAAGGATTTCCATTTTGCAAACGTATGATCCAAGTAGATG